ATAAANAATAAAAAAAATTACGTCTTCAAATTTTAACTTAGAACTTGATAACTATGAGTAACTCATGTAAAATTGAATAATGCAATCAAAGCTAAGATTGTAAAGAATAAAATATGTGTAATTGTTTCATTGCAAAATTCATAAAATATTCAATCAAAGCTAAGATTGTAAAGAATAAAATATGTTTAATTGTTTCATTGCAAAATTCATAAAATTATTGATAATTTGTTGACAAAGTTAAAATTATGAAATTTTTAAATTACGTCTTCAGATTTTAACTATGAGTAACTCCAGATTTTAACTTAGAACTCGATAACTATGAGTAACTCATGTAAAATTGAATAATGCAATTAAAGCTAAGATTGTAAAGAATTAAATATGTATAATTGTTTCATTGCAAAATTCATAAAATTATTGATAATTTGTAGACAACGTAGAATTATGAAATTTTTAAATTATGTCTTCAGATTTTAACTTAGAACTCAATAACTATGAGTAACTCATGTAAAATTGAATAATGCAATTAAAGCTAAGATTGTAAAGAATAAAATATGTATAATTGTTTCATTGCAAAATTCATAAAATTATTAATAATTTGTTGACAAAATAAAATTATGAAATTTTGAATTTACGTCTTCAGATTTTAACTTAAAACTCGATAACTATGAGTAACTCATGTAAAATTGAATAATGCAATCAAAGCTAAGATTGTAAAGAATAAAATATGTTTAATTGTTTAATTACAAAATTCATAAAATTCTTGATAATTTGTTAACAAAGTTGAAATATTGAATTTTTAAAATTAAAGCTAATATTATAGAGAATGTGAGAAAATGTGGAATTTAAAAGATGAATAGGAATCATTGAAAATTTAAAAAAAATAACATAATCGATTATCGAAATCAGTTTTGTATGTTGTAATTTAGGCGAAAGTGAACGTATGAATTATGATTTAATCAAAAAAATTGAAGGCACGAAAATTTGTTGCTTTCTGCACCATTTCGAACCGTGTCTTTCCATCATAAATCAGGGTGTACGTATTTATCCTTGATGCAAGAAGCAGAAACGAATCCGGACTACAAGGTGTTTCGTAACCTACTATGTGTTCTATCTACCACAAAGTTTTTTTTTTCTACACTGAAACAACATACACATATATATAAAAAAAAACCTTTCTCTATCGTGTAGATTTTCGCGGTGAGATATGAAATTACCACCATTACGGGTTGTGACTGTTAGTAGTATAAAATTTTATTTTTTTTTTCCTGTACATTTCATCTCGTATTTAAGAAGCACTTTGTGTGCCAATGGGAGAGGTGCGCCGGTGAACAATAAATGCGTTAAGGTTAAAATTTAAATTATTTATCTATCCACATTTACACACGGGCGAGGCTGGGCTTTTAGAACTGCAATTGATTGATAGATTTTATTTATTTATTATTTTTTTACTTTTTATTATTTTCTGCACAACTGGAGCAGAAATAAAGAGTCTGAATGTGTGTGTTAAATGCATACGAATCATCGGTTTTATTACGTTTCGCTCTCGATTTCCGTTATTTCCAGACCTCACGCGTTTATAATTTTTAATTTTAATTTCAAATACGCTTCGCTTAACGTTCGTTATTACGCTTACTATTTATTAATAATATCGACTGCTCCGCTCAATCGGATTCGCGCAACTATACAATAATTCATGCATTTAATCTGATTGCGTAAGGCGAGAAACGCAAGAAGATGAGTACATCTGGGCTTCGTGTTATTTCCGAGAAAGTGAAACTCTTTCCACATATTGTTACCATTGTTCGATATGTACACATCTTCAATAACAGTAAAATTAAAGATATAAACTATTTCTGCCCTACTAATTTCACTTTAACATCGACGACCTTAATAATCAGCTTTTGGAAATGCGAAAGAACAAATTTATGGTTCGTGCAAACATTAATTACAGCAACTCAAAAATTAAGGTCAATTTGTTGTTTGTTTCTATGTTTTTTTTATAGAGACAAATCGATGCAAACTATTATTGTTGCAACGATTATTATTTTCATTATATTTTTGTGTGTGTGTGTGTGTATGTAATACATGATGTCATAGGTCATGTGTCTTTCGGTGGTTTTACCTTTCGTTTCACACGTTGCAAAATAATGTGACGACCACACGTCTTTCGCTCAAAATGTAAATCCCTTTGTGCAAATATCAATTATTTTACCTGATTTTTATTTTAACTAAACCTCTTGCTTTTGTCAGCCTCCAACTTTATCCCACACTTCGCTTCCTGTCGTGGGTGCAGATTATTATATTGCAGTTGTTGTTGTTGTTGTTATTATTAATTAAACTTTTAATCGTCTTGCGAAATTTTCTTTCGTTTCCTTCATACTGCATAAAGGATGTAATGTACTGTGATTTCATCCTTTTATTATTCTTTCGTATTCGTTGGAATCAGGTTAATTGCTCAAAACCATTTTAAAGTGAAAGAGCGAAAATGTTTTTCTCCGTTCTTCCCTTACTAATAACCTAATGCATTAGCATAATTTCATTTGAGAATGCTTTCCCCAAAAGTAATAATAATAAATAAATGCGGTGGTAACGGTGTCTTCGGTTTAGAGCGTATAGCTCTACAAGTATGAATAGCATGTAGAAAATTAAGTTGGTCAATTGAAGCTAATTTTATAACTAATTTAATGAGTGCAAATGCATAACTGTGGAATTGATAATTTTCATTTCATTATTTTTGGCCTTTCGTTTTTTAGTAAATATTTCTATTATTATTGCTAGTAAAAGAGAATAAAAGCTTTAGATTTATAATTAGAAATAAGACTGTAACGAATTATGAGACTGTAGATAATCAATATTTAGCTTATGAAATTGCAGTTAGATATGTGAGGCCGGATCTGCGTAGGTGAGAAAAGAATATGAATCACATATAGTGTTTGACCTACAAAACGGGGCGAACGTATGCATGATTAGACGTCAATGAATTATAATAATACACTTCTTGTGATCATCTCCCATGGACTGATGAAGAACGATGAGCAAAGAAAGAAATAAATAAGTGTATAGATATAAAAAAAAAATATATAGAAGAAGGAATACAAAAGTAAACGGCGATAGTTAATGAAAGACTAGAGCCGTGACCGATCTAGTCCGATGACACCTGACAAGCGTTTAAATACTTTGTTAGCGGGCACATTCATCCGCGGACAATGGGCTATGACACAAGTACTTGCCTATACCTGCACCGAAACAGGTATATATGTATATAGAGAGTCTTGAGGCCGAACAGAGCGAGCGAGTGAGTGATATAATCTGGGCACAATCTCTTTTACGATAGCTTTAGCTATGCTAATGGACTTAGTCATTCTGCCGTGGTCACTGGGAGAGATACCTAATGCGTTCGCCGATGATAGAAAGTGGCCATAATCGACAATTTCATAGCTATCTCCTCTCCGCTCGTCGTTGGCGGCTCAACTCGACCCAACATGAAAACAACAAATAAAATAATAGTAATAAAGATCGCATAATAATAATAATATATCTAAATGCCTCACTGATTTGAATATTTATCGCCAATAGCAGGCAGCAACGCACCAACAAGATGTATCATACACTAAACTCATTCCTTCTCTCTTAGCAACACTTATTATTCTGATTATTATTATTGTGGGAAAACGCTTACATATTCCAATTCCAATAGCTTTAATCATTTCGACATACGCGTTTCTTCTTAGAAGCAATAACAATAATTCCATCCGGATGCCGGTTTCCTTCAAATAATAAAATCACAATATAACAGTGTGTTTATAAGTTCAACATTATCTGTTATGAAAGTAGAACAATTAAGGCTTTTTTTTTAAGCTGTTTCCACGACAAATTTACAATTACGCAACTTCTAATCTAAGCTTTTAGAGCTCATTGTTAATTTCTTAAAAAATGTGTTTAGTTTTGATCTCATCATATGTAATAATTTAATGGTTTTGTAAAGTTGTATTATTATTATTTTTTTGTTTTGGGGGAGGGCAAATAAAATTGCAAATTGCAGCCGGTCCTGTTCTTAAGTAGGTCGTGTCGGAGTTTTGCGTAATCCCGAATGACTCATTTGCATAATGGCGCTTTGTACTAGAAAATCCGCCGCCGCCGCCTCTCTCGTTTTCTTTTGTTTCATAAATGTATGTATGTATATATATATATATATATGGTAACGTATTTTCTTGGTTGACAGGATAAGCAGAATGTCAGATATGTATGGGAACGATGACGACGATGATTACGGTATGCAGTATTCCGAGGAGAGTACTTCGGAGCCGGACGTGGATCTGGAGAATCAGTACTACCAGAGTAAACTGATCAAGGAGGAGAACGAGGTGTTGGCTTTGACCTCGTTCAGACGCGTGATCGATCTGCAGGGGGAGAGTAAAGGCGAGTGGGGCTTCAAGGCTCTGAAGCAGATGATCAAGATCAACTTTTCGTTGGGGCATTATGAAGAGATGATGCGGTGTTACCGCGAGATGCTCGTGTACATTCGCTCGGCTGTCACGAAGAATCAAGGGGAGAAGGCTATCAACAGTATCTTGGAGTATACGTCAACGTCGAATCAGAAGGAACTGCTGCAGGAGTTCTACGAGATGACTTTGGATGCTCTTAAAGACGCGAAGAACGATAGGCTTTGGTTTAAGACCAATTGCAAATTGGGTAAAGTCTACTTCGATTCCGGTGAGTTTGGGAAGTTGCTCAAGATCATAAAGCAGCTGAAGCAGGCTTGCGTGAATAAAGAAGGCGATGAGGACGTGCAGAAGGGTAACCAGCTTCTGGAGATTTACGCTCTCGAGATTCAGATCTACACGGAGAAGAAGAACAATAAGCTGCTGAGGGAGCTGTACGAGAGGGCGCTCAAGATCCGCTCGGCGATTCCCCATCCGATGATAATGAGCACGATCAGGGAGTGCGGCGGAAAGATGCATTTGAGATCCGAGGAGTACGAGAGGGCTTACGCGGATTTCTTCGAGGCTTTCAAGAATTACGACGAGTCGGGAAGTCCTCGTCGGATCGCGTGTCTCAAGTACCTGATCCTGACGAGCATGCTGATGAAGTCGACGATTAACCCGATAGACTCGCAGGAGGTTAAACCGTACCGCGACGATCCGGATATTGTTACCATGAAGGAGCTGCTGATGGCTTTCCAGAGTAACAACACGACGCGTTTCGAAGGCATCTTCAAGGATAACAGGGATCTCTTCCTCAGCGACCCCTTCATCCGGGAACACATAGACGGACTCTTCCACATAATGCGCTCAAACGTCCTGCTGAAACTCATAAAACCGTACAAAACGATCCGTCTGGACTTCACCGCCAAAGAGCTGAACATCACCGAAGAAGAGGCCGAACACTTGATAGCCCTGTGCATCCTGAACGAGTCGATCAAAGGTCGTATAGACGCCATCAACAGGCTGCTGATCATCGAGGATAAGCAGGAGAACGTCCAGTACAAAGCATGCAATAAGATCGTCGACAAGCTGGATGGAATACACAAAACCATGGGCGCTGAGATCTTATGCANNNTTCATTTAATTAAGATTCTCATCTTTCTGGTTTCATTTAATCTCATTATAATAAAACCGCTGTATTTATTCAAATTGTAGCCATCATGTCGGGTATTTTATTCAATTGAGAACGAGAAGTCCCAGTTAATTATTATCATTTTCCTTCTGCCTTCTTTTTCGCAAATGTTAAAACAGCAAAACTTATACGCACGCGTTTCGTTAATGGACTTTTATCATAAGGAAATGCATGTAGATTCTCTCCTTTTTCGCATCCTCTGTGCCTTTGCTGGCAACTTTGCAGGAAAGTTAATAAATTTCCTTAATTACATTTTAATTGCGTCTTCTGTATTCCTACCTGCAGCTGTGCGCGAGATTATTGTCATATTTTTGTTGTTGACCGTTAAGAGATTCTCAGAGAAATTGTTTTTATTTGCATATTTACAATAATTTTAATACGAACATAATTATTTCTTACCAAATTATCATCGTGCTATCAATGATTTATTATTTAACAGTTTGTATTTTTATTAAAATCGGAGTTGGGAATTTGTTTAAAATTCCGTGTGTGGAAAAGGTGCGATCATTTTGGAGGAACAAAAGAAAAGAGGGTCCGGTTTGGAAAACAAAAGAAAAGAAATGCGAACAAAAGAAACCGAAGGTGGACACTTACGTGAGCGGGTGAGAAATCCTTTATTATATCTATATATTAAATTGTTCTTCCTGCTTCGTATCTCGCACTTTTTACGTACTGTTGTTGTTTGTTGTTGACGGATTGATGAAGAGTTGTTATAGAGTTTTTTCTGTTGTTTGTTTGTTTGTTGTTGTTGTTGTTGATGATGATGGTTGTGGTGAGACCGCGTTGCGCAGGAATCTTCTGCATCTGCAGGATTCGAGTGTCGCTGGCACCGATATCTGAGTGCGACTAACCCAAGTCACCACTGACTTACTGACGGCATCACGAACTCAGCCTCTCAGCCGGCAGCAGGTACTTCTTGCTGAAAACCTGTAACCAATACCTGCTTTTACTACACACATATCCGAAATACAATATACACACACATTCGAAACCTATATACGCTTCTTCTTCGTCTTCTACTACACCGCAGCGCACGCTGATGCACACACACACACTCGCTCTCTTGAACTTTTATCATCATCGCCAAACTGGTCTTCTTCGTGCTTCGCTCATCGTGCTCCGTGCATATGTACATATATATATATATGCACCACGCTGAGAACACTAAACACAGGTTGTTAATTAACCGGGAATCCATAAGGATCATTTCCATCGTCCACCGAATTCATTTAAACCTGATTTAAAGAAACAATAGCATAAATCATAAATCGAATTGTACAGTTTATTTGCAATATTTGTTTATAGTTTTAGCCCACCCACGGCTAAAGAAATATATGTCTTTGACGGAGAAAACCATAATCCAATGGTAAAATTCGCGTGTTTTTTTTTTTATTAGGTATAAGCATAATTAATGAACGCGTGTCGACGTGAGCGGCTCGGAAACAGTACACAGATGGAGACGGTAATTTGCATACGCGGATTTAGCACATCCACTTGTCGCTCTTCATCATCATCTCCTCCTCCTCCTTCCTTCCTTTCATCGTCTAATTTACAACAACAAAAATGATACGTGCTCTGTTACATAAGCAATCGAGTGATTAATTTGATTTGCATACTTTACTGCTCGCTCGCTTGCTATATAATATACGAGATGTTATTAATATTTCATTTTTATTCTCTAATTCTAGCAATTTATGCTTCTTGTCAGAAACAATGGGTTTGTTGAACTCAATTACCACATTTCTTCTCGCAGTTTTTGATTACATCAAGGAAATTTATTTATAAACTCTTACTAATCATTTTTATTTATTCTTTACATAATTAAAATTGAAAAGTTCATGGAAATTATACAGTTCAATACGAACAACAGCATCTAGGTAATTACTTAACATTTAATGACTATTCTTAGTTTATTAAAAGTAATTTGTTATTAGGTGATTTAAAGTTTTTAAATATCATTTTCAAGTAACCATTTTTACAACTATTTGACTAATTATGTAACAGCTGCAAGTCTATAAGTACATTCTTATTAAAGCCTGAATATTTAGCTTTAATTATGGTATTCATACTTATACTTGGCGTGTGCGGTTTTTAAGTAATTAAGTAAATTGTGAAGACGTATACAAAAACAGAAGTTTTACAGTTTTAAAATATGTCTTTGGGTACCAATTTTCGTGGTTACTAAGTGTTAAAGTTGTTGAGTTGTTCCAAATATTTAATTATTTAAGTAGGTGTTGGATATTTAAATATAACGTTCGTTGTTAAATAACAAAAGTTTCTGAAGTAAGTGCTGCTCTCTGTGGGGTGCGCATAAAAGCTCTTTGACTGTAAAGTTGTGCATTTTGTAGTTTAATGTGAGGGTTGTTTGTGTTTAGTCTCCGTGTTTATTAGTTTGCGTAGGGATTGCAAAGAGTTTATGTAATTATTTATGAATGAGAATAGTTTGAGGATGAATTGAAGAAAGAGTTCCTTGCGTTGGTACACCTATTGTATAACCAATAAAACGGTTGTCAGTGTTTTGACAGCGGGTCTGTCAGCTGTTACGGGGTGCTAATGTAATCTTCAAACCTTCTCGGTGCTTTCGGTTATCGCTACAATAATAATGAGCAGCGATGAGAAGCAGAGCGAAAATGAAAGCGATAGCAGCACCGGAGGAGGCAATGGCAAGTGTAAAGTGATCATAGTTGGGGCTGGGATGGCCGGTCTCTCGGCCGCCCATCACCTCATCAAGAACGGCTGCAGCGATTTCAAAGTGCTGGAGGCAAGGAGACGGATCGGCGGTAGGATAATCCAGATAGACATCGGCTCTGACAAGGTGGAGCTGGGCGCAAACTGGATCCATGGTATTCTTGGTAACCCGGTGTACGAGTTGGCCATGGAGAACGGTCTCGTCGATATACTGCAGATGCCGAAACCGCACAAGGTAGTTGCAGCCACCGAGAAAGGTAAACACGTTCCGTTCAACGTCCTGCACNNNNACACAGTATCTACCACCGGATGGTATAGACAGTGTGGGGGATCACATTAAATTAGAAATTACTTTGTATCTAGATAGAATCGCAGATGTCAATGACAGGCACTTGAGGGAGCTCATCTTTGATTGCTTGCTGAAGAGGGAGACCTGCATTTCAGGCTGTGATAGCATGTCCGAGATTGATTTACTGGAGATCGGAAGCTACACAGAATTGCAAGGTGGAAACATAGTGCTACCTCAGGGCTACAGCTCCATACTGCATCCAGTCTCAAAGCACATACCCGCAGCTTCTATACACTTGGAGCATCCAGTAGCTTTAATTAAATGGTGCCATAGTAACAATAATAATAATAATAACAACAACGATAATGGTGATGAATCGGACGACTCTGATCGGACGGTGATCGAGGAGCCCTTGACGACTAGTCAGGAAGAGACGCGGGCCAACGTGGAGGTCACCTGCGAGAACGGGAAGAAGTTTTACGCCGACCATGTGATATGCACAATACCCTTGGGTGTACTTAAATCGAAAGCGCATTCGCTCTTTCAACCGTCGCTGCCCGATTACAAATTAGAGGCGATAGATCGGCTACTCTTCGGGACCGTCGACAAAATCCTGCTGGAATACGACCGGCCTTTCCTCAATCCGAACGTGACGGAAGTCCTGCTGCTGTGGGAGCCCTCCGAGAAGGAAACTGACTACAGCAAAAACTGGTACAAGAAGATCTACTCGTTTGCGAAGGTGTCCGAGACGCTGCTCATGGGCTGGATTAGCGGAAAGGAGGCGGAGTACATGGAGACGTTATCCAATGAGGTTGTGGTAGAGACATGCACGAATATTCTAAGGAAGTTCCTCAACGATCCGTTCATTCCCAAACCGAAGAATTGCATTTGGTAATTCATCATTTGTATATTACTAAAAAAATGATTATTAATTAATTTATTGTTTAGCACAAGTTGGTTTAGCCAACCCTACACCAAAGGATCTTACACGGCTATAGCCGTTGGGGCATCGCAGATTGACCTGGAGTGTTTGGCCCATCCCCTTTACAGCTCCGAAAATCAAGACAAAGTATTTTTATTTCAAATACTTTAACGAAATACAAATTTCATTTTTATTGTTTTAGCCTGCTGTGTTGTTTGCCGGTGAACACACGCACACGAATTTCTATTCGACGGTGCATGGGGCGTACCTTAGTGGGAGGACTGCGGCGCAGATCCTACTGTCGCAGGACGCGCCCCAGGAGATCGTCGTCGACTGCGAGGATGCCAGCGACCTGAGCTCGTGGATCCAAGGGATCTGCTTGGAATAAATAGGTATATTATATATATATTATTTGACGATGGCCTTTCGGAATTTACTAAAAGGGGACGGTCGATTACACAGACACACCTCCTCTCACTCGCAGCATAGGCGTGGCCTACTGAAGTATGTGTATATTTAACGTATATATACAATACAAATATCATGATTTATAAGATTTGTTTCGTTTTGTAAATGTGCTATATTTATTATATACGTATATCGGAAGAGAATTCGGAAAAGAAAATCAGATAATGCCTTTGGTTTTGTATGATAATGTATATTGACGTTATCCAGTAGACTTTTCTCCCTTCCCACCACTGCTGGATTCGCAATATATGTAAATAGTATTAGAGGTTTTCTCTTGTTTGTTTGTTTGTTTTTTGTTTTCGTTTATAAATAGGAGCCTTTCTATGAAACAACACACTACTTTCTTCACCGTTTGTACATAAAACTGTTATTTATTCGTTTATATTTTACAATTTCTTTTAATTGTCTTAGGGGCTTCTAGTATTATTAATTTTTAATAACGAAAAACCAAAACTTTTTATATATATATGTAATACGCTTGAGCTAGTCATGTTTTACATTTATTTTATTTTTTGTTCCCTCACTCTTTATTTTTATTGATCAAATGATATTATTACTATTATTATAAATAAATTAAGTTAAAAAATTATTTATTTTTTAATTTATTCAAGTTTATTACATGATTCCACGTAATAATATATATATAAATAAAACATAATAGTGTCAGTCCAAGCGATCTGATTGATGATGGCCTTTTCCAGAAACGATTAGTCTCTATAAAATACAAGAAATATCATTACTTTAACAGACGAAATAATGTTGATTGTTAAGAAATAAATTTTAATTAATTAATTGATAATAATACGAGCAAGTTTATTTTAATTATATCACTCCATCCCTGGAACACGATACAAGAATGTCCCGTCGTCGTCGTAATAGCAATCGTACAGTTTGTAGGTGGAACCTCTCTTCCTCTGCTTTTCCGGTATGATTATCCTCTCGGGGTAAACCAAATGCTTGTTGTCATTCTTCTCCAACACGCTGATCGATCCCTTGCGATTCACGTACTTCGCCACTTGCAATTCGATTTCTTTGGTCTCCGCCACCACTTTGGACTCCTCCGACTTCATTATCTCCTTGTCCACGTCGTTCGCAGCCTCGCCTTTACTTCGCAAACTATCCTTGTACGCGGAAAACGTCATCTCCTGCTTCACCTCAAATTCCTCCTGATTCTCGCTCAAGTAAGTCTCCTTCAGCGGCCTCTTAACTTCGACCTCTTTTACTTCGGGCAGCAACTCCTTCGTCTTCAACCGCTCGTAACTGCCGATTATTTCCGAGAACTCTCCACCAATCCGCAGCAACTGTCTCTTGGGCTCCACCTCCTCCACGAACTCGTTGGTACTCGCGCTGCGATTCGTAAACCGTCGCAGATGCTCCACCAGATCCTTTGGTAAATCCAACTTTTTTGCAGTGAACTCCCTCCAATTCCTCTTCACACCTAAATCGTGATTCTTTATTTTATTTTCATTCTTTTTACTCCAATTTCCTTTGAGAATTTTCTATAAAAAAAAACATAATTAAGTAATGCGTACATAACATTTTATTTCTATTAATTACCAATATAGTTTCTGGAAGAGCTGGGAAACCTTCGGAAAGACGCTCAACATTCCACTCTTCAGGATCTTTGGAGTGCAAATGTTTGATCTGCATTTTATCAGCCCATGTGAGGAAGTTGGGGGTTTTCTCTTTATCAAAGTACTTTCGTTTCACAATAAGATACTTCACTTGCTCCTTCATTGCACGAATTTCATTTTCGTGCTGACGATGGGACATGTTCATGGCATTGAAATCTGCTTCGAGCTCATCCAGCTCTTGTGTCTCACCCAGCAACCTCGTTTGATACTTGATGCCAGCATCTTCCCTTCTTTTGTTCTTAAACCTGGCATTCCTAATAACGGATTTTTGCACGTTTTGCGTTTTTAAAATCGACGATACACAGAATTTCAACATTTTGTTGTGGTACAAAAAATTGTTGGTTATGTTACAAATTCGTACATTTCAACTCTAAATGTTAAATCATTTATTTGAACAAATCATCGATTTGTGATACTTATTTGTTAATTATTTATTAGCACATTAATAATTAATTTATCACGATATTTGTAATTGGATATTTAGTAGCAGCGACATCTACCGCTAATTATATATTTTTTTTCTTATATAATTTTTGTCGATTTCTATCTTTATTAATAATTAGGATTATAGCAAGATTATGAACAATTAGTAATAGTTAACTAAACTAATGTATAATATGTATTAATTGTATTTTATTTGAATTTTGTGTTGGTATATTGAGTGTCACTTCTTCTTGATTCCACTTCATTCATTGCTTTTATCCATCGATTGAGAAATAGAGCGGAACGGAAAGATAATTGAGAAAGTAATTTATGTTATTACGAAATAATTGTTGTAATTATGTGTTTCTCTCTGTAGAATCTTTAAAATAAATCTACGTTTCATTGGGAGCAGGTTGGTAGAATGAGTGTCAAAGGGGTTGGTTTGTAGATAACACTATTTGCCTAGGTGTCCTCTAATCAACTAGTGGTATATAAACACAAGGATGGAACAGATTAACCTAAATATCGATAAACCGTGAGATGACGTTCGAAAATAAACATGACTGATAGGAAGTCTGCCCTGTTTTCCAACGAGAAAAAGATCAGATTCACATCTCATGCTCGAGTTCTCTATGCCAACGACAAAGTGGAAGACTTATACAGAAATGAAGTGCAGAATGATGAAGTGGAGGCCCCCAAGAGGGGTAAGCTTTATTTTATGATTTTAACAACAATTTGTTAATGTAATGTTTCGTTAGAGAGATGTCCCTCGCTGTTCTCATTCATGCAAGTTGAAATAACCAGAGGGTATGTGCTGGAGCATGATGAGGAGAGGTACTCGGCAAGAAGGGAGAAGGTGTATTCCTTCATGAAGATCCCAAGAGAAGTGGAGAAGTTCATGAGCTACGGTTTCATGCAGTGCGCTGATTCCTTCCTGTTTGTCTACACTTTCTTGCCCTTGCGTGTGCTTCTTGCCATTTGGGCGCTCTTCACCAGACCGTTCGCTAAATGCTTCGGGCAAGAGAACAGCAACAAAGTCTTGCTCTCACCGGCGGAGATTTGCGATCTGCTGAAAGTCGTCATCCTGATCACCTGCTGTTTGATGATGTTCTACATCGATACGAACATGATCTACCATCTGATCAAGAGCCAATCCGTCATAAAGCTGTACATATTTTACAATATGCTCGAGGTCGGCGATAGGCTGTTCTCCGCTTTCGGACAAGACACGATTGACGCCCTCTTCTGGACGGCCACAGAGCCTAGAGGAAGAAGGAGAGAGCATTTAGGAGTTTTGCCGCATCTTCTCTTTGCCATCACTTATGTCTGTATCCTTTTAACGAAGAGCCAAATTAGCTAAAACTAATTGTATTCGTGTATATAATACTTAACTGAATTTTATAGTTCTTCATAGCCTTTTAGTTTTATTTCAAGCCACGACGCTGAACGTGGCGATAAATTCCAATAACAAAGCTCTTCTCACCATCATGATGTCAAATAATGTGGGTAATAATTAGAAAGGTATGAAGGTTTTACTAATTAAAAATTTCTTGCAGTTTGTGGAATTGAAGGGAAGCGTCTTCAAAAAGTTCGACAAGAATAATTTGTTTCAAGTATCGTGCAGTGATGTAAGAGAACGATTCCACTTGGCCATACTGCTCTTTATAGTTGTGCTTCAGACTATGAAGGAGTACTCGTGGAAGTCGGATAGGTTTTGGGTGCTGCTCCCTGACTGCCTTATCGTGTTAACGGCAGAGATCTTCGTGGATTGGATTAAGCATGCGTTTATTACGCGCTTCAACGATCTTCAGGTGGACGTTTACAAGGATTACACGACAAGTTTAGCCTACGATATGGCGCAGACGAGACAGAAGCACGCCTTCTCCGATCATTCGGATTTGGTCGCACGTCGCATGGGCTTCATTCCTCTGCCTCTGGGCGTGATCATGATCAGGGTTTTAGCACAGGCAGTTCACATCAGCGATATTCCTTCTTTGATCATCAGCGTGGTGGCTTTCCTCAGTTTATGGGCGGTGCGAGTTTTGAACAGTGTTCTGATCTTGGGAGTTGCGTGTCATCTGATTGCGCAACACAAGCAGGAGAAGGCTAACACGAATTCGCCGTCCTCGAATCGAGCGAACAGTCCTTTGCCCACGTCCAAGTTAACGCACAAGGATTGGCTTAAAGATTCTGCGACGAGCCCCACGAAACCTGCTATGGATCAAACCGCTCCGATCGTAACTCAGCCTGTTGTTAATCTCAATGGCCTCAACGTCTTCGATAACCCCAAACTGCTGAAGACTGAATCGCTGGAAGCGCCGCTGGAGAAGCTCAACATTGAGTTAGGATCAGCGGCGATTTTCGCCAACAGCACTGTAGATTTGAAGAACGTCACGCTGAACGAGGAGCTGCTGAAGGTGGAGGGTGAAGAGATCATCGTTGAAGCAGAGAATCTGTCGAAGAGCGATCCGAGCATCAACTGTGATATCGAGGCGATCAAGCAGGAGTCCGGTACGGTGGAAGTTATGGAAAAGATCATCAAGAAGAGGGCCGAATCGGAGCCGAATCTGATTAACTGCAACGACGAGGACGAATGATTTGACGAGGCGCGCTCCTGCTGGGACTTCTTCAAGCAGATCTGCTGCGATTTCTTTTAACAGACACTTTGATTATCATTATTATTATTATTACAACGTAACGATGCTTAATCTTAATTTTTATTTTATCCAAATTTTTTTTTTGTTCGTATTTCTTGGCCAAAGCGGGGATTTGTAGTATTTTTTTGTTGTAAAATACGAACGCGGTGTTTTCCTTAATTACGTTTTTATTTTAGTCTCTAAAAGAGACTTTGTTTGTTATAATTATATTTTTTAAATAACATTTTGTATTATGATATTGTGATAATGCGTGAATAAAAATATATATGACAATGTTATTTTAATACAACTGGTGGACATAATTTAATTTTGAAATCTACCTGATAAAATCACTGAAATGTGATAATTTTTTGAACGCAAATTACAGGCAAATGGGTGACACCACAACAATAATTGAATATAAGTTGCATTCCCCAAACATTCAACTTTCATAAGTATCTTTTGGATCTATTCTATCTATTATAGTTTTAAAGAAAATCAATTAAACGTGAAGATGATACTTTTCAGCATCGATATTTTTTAAAGCTAGCAGTGAGCTAGTTCGAAAGGTAAGTTCTTCATTCAGTCTGCATGTAACTAATAAATAAAATTTTATTCCAAAGTTTTATGTTTATAAAGAATACAAAATATACTTCACAAATCTATTCGTGAAGGAATTGCAGAAATTCGATAAAATCCTTAGTTATTTTCATATTTATTTTAAAATCTGAAGTTATAGTTCTAAAGAATGATTATTTCTCTTTCATTTGGTACTACATATAATTATTTTGGTTAATTATTAAGAAACTTATTAAGTTTTAATTTGTTCGCGGTTTTCGCGAATCGAAACTAAAGTCCCCCCCATATTTGAATCTCGAAAATGACAGAAAATTTCGATTTTCACCAGGAGACCAGGAGTAGCGAGGAGGTATCTGAGCTCGTGACTGCGGTCGCCCCTTATTGGTTGATTCAAATTACGTTCAAATGACGACCAATAACAATTCACACACGCACGCAAGTTGATTCAAATTATAGTTCCTGAAAATTCCGACAGATGACTCTGATTATCATAATTTTAACGCATATAACTCGAAAACTAATTAGGAAATAACTTATTAGATTGAAGAAGTAACATTAGATTCATGAAATAGTTCTTTTAGCATATTTGTTTATTTAAATTAGTAAGCTTTAAAGGAAGTGGATTTTGTACAGCGCCAAAATGCCTGAACTGCAGCCTTTGCAATATTGCTAACAGATGGCGCCAACTGTCACAAAATATTTAATATATATTTTGCGCCTAAAGTACAGGCAACCAAACATACATATACACTTTGATGAACAAATAGGAAAACAACGACTTAGATAATGGCTTGTATTTTCGTAAAATTGAGCTCCCAGAAGAATTTTGTATATGGATGTTGATCTTGAATGTACGCAGATTAAAATTAGCGTAAATATTAGTTTGTAGCTGCAGTGGTGGCTTCATAATTGATTAACAAACTTTGGTATTTCACAAATGAGTTGGGAAAATAGCATCTTGGAAAATGGCATGTATCTTCGTATTCACTAACGTTTAGAAGAATTTTGGACATTAATATTGATTTTAAATATACAGAGATTAAAGTTAGTGTAAATACAGGTTTGTAGATACTATAGCTTCGTCACAGTTATTTATCAAACTTAGGTATTAGACAGTTTGGAAAACAACGTTCTCAAAAAATGGCCTGTATTTTCGAATACACCAACTCTCAGAAGAGTTCTGGATATTAAAGTTGATCTTGAATATAGAAAGATTAAAATGAGTGTAAATACAAGTTTGTAGCTACCATAACTTAATCACAGTTAATTATCAAACTTTGGTATTAGATAGTTTGGAAAACAACGTTTTCGCAAGCACTTGCTCCTAGAAGAATGTTGATCTAAAATAAACAGAGATTAAAATAAGTGAAAATATAGATTGAAAGATTGATTGTATGAGTTCAACATATTGACATTAATCAATCAGCAAAGTTTGTTTCTCTTCAGAAAAGATAGAACAGAAACTTCAGCTAACTATGTTAAACTTGTTATTGTTTTAGGAAGGGCACTCCTCCTAGTAGCACGTGTGGCTATATTCCTGTAACACTATTTTTTTAATTGCAAATAATGAACAGCAGAGTTTTTCATTTTCTGCAGAACCAAGCGACATTCATGATTCTATTGTTGCTTCCTACATGATCCTTAGAGACTGGATAACACTTCTGATTGCCATAAGCAGTCAAAACACTGAAAAATCTAAAAAGGTAAATTTTCATACATGACTAAAGTTTTTCTATTTTGTAGGTCCCAATGCCACATCTATATGTAGTATTGCATCCTGCATGATCCAATACAACATTTCTGCATACCTGATTCAGTGAAAATACTGAAAAACTAAAAAAGGTAACTTTCATGCTCTCATCACCAATACAGATTAACATATATTCTTTTATTTGTAGGACCCAATGCCACATATAAATGTATTGTTGCCTCCTGCATGATCCTTAGAGACAGTATATCTGGATGCCTGATGCATTGAAAATCTGGGGAAATCAGTAAGGAGAATATATTCCATCAAAAACCAAGAGACTGTTTTCTCTTTTAGGTGGAATCAATGGTACCCATCAATGTATTGTTAACTAATGTATGATCCTCAGAGTAAGCTGAATTTTTATCTTAAGGCACAGACCAAAGTTTCTTGTTTATGAGGACACCCATGAGGACAGCACCCAAGAATCTATTGTCTTTTCTGAGTGTATTCATGCAATATACTTATGTTATTATAAAATATATATAAATTCTATAGTTTTGAGTTATATTATTGATTTTTTTTTTGAAATCCTACTAGAATCTAATTTAATTAGAAATCCCATTGGAACTGTATGTCATATACTATAAGGTATCTAATTTAAGCGTTAATATTAGTTATATATGAATACTCACTAAATTTCCCAAACACCCAGCTTTCATATGTATCTTTTGGATCCCTTAAATTTATTGCAGTTTCTGAGAAATTAATTAAAATGTGAAATCAGTACATTTTCAAACATTATTTGCTTTTACAGAGAAATGAATGAAACAACAGCAATGTTTGAATGCACTTTGCATTCCCCAAATATACAACTTACATATGCACCTTTTGGATCCATACTCTCTATTATAGTTTTCGAGAAAATACGAAAAAACAAGTTTAATATACAACACTTTTAGCCTGTCTTCGTTTAAGATGAAAATTCATCATACTGATTATCCTATAATTTCACTGCATCTGAGAAATATTATACTCTAATGATCATCTAGAAGGCAGCAATAGATATATAAATACTGTTGAATCCTCCTGAAACAAGAAATTCTTTTAGTAACTTCTAGGGGTATTGATAAAAAATTACCTTTTTGATTTTCCAGTATTTTCACTGAATCTGGCAAACAGAAAAGTTATATAGTCTCTAAGAATTAGAGAGAAGTCTACAATTAATCTATATTTGCTAACTACTTAAAGAAGTAATGTTTTTTGTTTCATTCTGAAGCTAAGGTTTTTCGACTATTTGCAAATGTAAACTGCTAGTAAACAAAGCCTTTCACTTTCTGGAGAACTCACTCTTTGGAAGCCTCTAGTAGCTGAACCTAAAATAATAACAAATTTAACAATCGATTGTTGACAAGTTAACTATATATCTATCGACTATTAGCAACTAATGTAAATACTTGTATGATGATACTGCTTCAGTGTGTTGTTGCAACAACTGAATTGAAGAATTTTCCATAATATCTGCTGATACATCTTTTCTGATAACAGATACTTTAGTGATCGATGCAACATGTTGTCTTGGTACTTGTCTGCAGGGAAATATGGTGTTCAAAGCAAAGTTTTCCATGCAAGGAAAGAGAAGGAGGAAGCAATGGAGCAGGTTCTTCATTAAATTTGCAATTAGAACATGGCAGAATAAACAGCAAATCCAATAAACCCTTGTTAACTTTCTGTGACACTGACAGTAGCTGTCAGATTGACAGTTCGCTCACTCACACAAACGTAAGTAGCTGAGCATTAGAACTAGCGTTGCGTTAGAACTACCGTTGCATTGGAACTACCGTTACTAGGAGCGCAGATACCTCCTCGCTACTCCTGGTCTCCTAGTGGAAATCGAAATTTTATGTCATTTTCGGGATTCAAATGGGGGGGGACTTGAGTTGCGATTCGCGAAAACCGCGGACACATTAAAGCTTAATAACTTTCTTATTAATTGACCAATATTAATGTGTTTAGTAGCAAACGAGAGCGAAAGAATCATTCTTTAGAACTGTTACTTCAGATACTATAATAAATATGAAATTGACTATTTGTTTAGGGATTTTATCGAATTGTTGCAATAACTTCAAGTTTTTATATTTAACCGATAAAATATTATGTTAATTATATCTTCAAATATGCAATTTAATAGATATAAGTATGGCTTATCCAAGAAGCCCATGGCGTATTCCATTTGTATGCTGTGGACAGTCAAATATTTGAAAGTTAAAAATGCACTTTCCTCACGTTTCATTTAATTAAATTTAATTACATAATTAAAGGTAAAATTGCTTCATTATAATTTGCAAGAAAATCAATAAAATATGTAGACACTACTTTTTCGAGCATTATTGAAAGCAAATTACAAAAGCCAAATGTGTCGTTTCCTAAATATCCAACTTAGATGTGTATCTTTTGGATCCATTCTATCTAATTATAGTTTCTGAGAAAAGTGAAATGTGAAGACAACTGTTACTTTATAATTAAAATTTATAACGTTTTTCCCCATTCACGTTAATAAAATGTATCTCGCAAAATGTTCTTCTAGGAAAATTTAGAACGATCGTGGTCTGTTCTAATATATAATTTAAAGAGTAAGCATTTAATTGCAGTCAGAACTTAACTATTAAAAAAATATCCATAAAATTATTTCACTGCTGTTAAAAAACGTGTAATGGAATATCGGAGAATTTGCTAATACACAATAATAGAGAAATAATACCTGACGCAAAACGTAATTTGAAATTTCTCATGGAAGTGAGTGATCCTAACTTACGTCAGCTCGCCTCCTAAAGTCATTTAGTGGAGACGACGCCCGCAGCGAATTCTTTTGCAACGTTCACCTCGATCCTAGTTGGAAATTAGCCGAAGAAAAG